AACATTTTAGTGTTTCAATATTTAAAATCAATTTTTTAAAATTAGTTTGAAAAATTCATTAAACTTTGTTCAGTTGGTTTTATCCAATTCCCCTTACCTCCCCATTTTAGAGGAACACAGGCCTATCAAGATAAGTGATTTTTTCCAAAATCTCACTGCTAGCCAAAAGCACAGCAGGGAGAAGCCAATCTCCTGACACTCAGAATCATTCTTTACTACTACATCATCACAAAACCTCATTTATAATTCATTAAATGGAGGCCTCTATTGTTTTCCCCCCCATTCATTGTTACATGGAAAAGTATAGTGAAAAAAACATGGTTTCTGAAACAGACAAACCTGGGGTCTGAATTTTCTGACAAATTACACTACTCTGCTTAGCAGTATGGCTGGTCCTAATAAAATAGCTAGATGGTCTAAAAGAAATGATAATAAATTTATACTCATAATCAAAGATCAGGTATGTGAGTTTGTACCTGCTTAGACTTTATGCTCCTGTCCAAGGATTTTATGACAGATTGTATGAATAGTACTAAGAAAAGCTAACTGAAAAGAAAGGGCGGGGGGGGGGGAGATAAAAGGTTGGCAGTATTAATACTAATTGATGACTTGTTAGAAAATACCATGGCACATAAGTTTTAGGTCTTACTTCATCCTGTAAGGGTAATAACTCATCTAGTAAGTTAAGGAGGAAATAAAAATCAAGGAAATCTAGTTTAAAAGTGTTAAGTGTTTTTCCATGAGCTCTAGCAGGGTCCTTTTGTATTCATACACAACACTGTCCACATCTCTCCTAAATAATTTTGATAAACCTGTTCCTCAAAAAGTGCCTTACAGATGGTACCATTGTCTAAACTTAAAGCATGCAGATCCATTTTTCCGTTATAGTATTTTTTGAGGTTGTACACAAAATTTTACCACTAGTTAACCCAAAGGGGAAAAAAATATGCGAATTGCATTTTTTTCAGCCTAAAAAATTCTCTCCGCATCTGTTTTAAAAATGATGAATCAGCTTTCCATGCAGACAGTGCTCTCGCCAACATGGTGAATGCTCTTAAAACCCTACCTACTTTCTGTAAGAAGTGTGGCTAGCATCAACCCAACCAAGTAACAGAGTACAAGGAGGGCAAGGATTCTCCGTATGTGCAGGGAAAGCACTGTTATGGCAGGAAGCAGAGCGGCTAAGGTAGCAGCCTAAGCCGATTTTCAGCAAAAAAGGCTAAAACTACAAAGAAAATTGTGTTGAGGCTTTGAATGTGTTGAGCCTAACTGCAGATCTAGGAGAATGCTGGCTACTAAGATATGCAAGCATTTTGAACTGGGAGGAGATAAGAAGAGAAAGGGCCAAGTGATCCAGTTCTAAGCTTCATGTTATTATGTGATGATAAAATCTTGAGCATAAAAAAATTGCTGCATCATGAAATAAAGGAAATAGACATGCAAAGAACCCAAACAAGTAGTTCATCGCGTATTTTGACCTTCCTAATTATGTTACCTTATTATTTTGGTCTTGTTAAGCATGTGGAACCAAGTAACTTGATGGGTTTTATTAACTAGAAGAGTAAGAGCTCATTCTCAGAAACTGACCTCGAGAATAAGAGTAAGGGCATTTACTTCTACAAGTTATTACACTTTCTACTTCCTGTTTTATTTAGTCGGCTCATCATGACCATTTCAGGTAACAATGCAAAAGTTAAAAAACCCAACTTCCTCTTTATAAAGTGATAAAAACTTCAGCAGTTAGTTATGCAAATGGTTGATCTTACTAGCTTTTATAGAAATACATCAAGGAAATCACCAAATTCACCTCTGGGTTCAGTGCTTTTGGAAAACATAACAAAGATAAAAAGTTGTATTAAAATATATTTGGCATCATGACATATATGCCTTAAAAAACCCCAAGTCAAATGCAGTTGAGGTCTTAGTTAAAAACAGAAAAAATGGAAACTTTAGAGTTCCTTCAAGGAAGAATCAATACAAATTAAGGCTAAAAATATCTTTTTAAAAATTTGTTTGCAATAGTGCCTTGGTTGTGAAAATTTTCTAGAATAAGAATCTCATTTAAGCATTACTTATTTCTGAACGCTAAAGTATTCATTTCAACAAGTCTTGTTAGAAGAATACTTTCTCAGTTCCTGAATTCAGTTAAAAGGAAGCAGAAGTCTGGAGAAAGAGGGGGCAAGTTAGGCATAAAGATAAAGAGAATTAAAGAAATCTTGTAAGTCAAAGCTCTTCCTTTTTACTTAGAGATCCACAACACAAAAGTATATATCAGTTTCATCTCTGTCTGTGAATGAGAATTTAATAAAATTTCAGAAACTTCAAGTCATATAGATTAATGAGACATTTATTGTATCAGCTATTTTTAATTATCCACACTAATGAAGACAGTGTGGTTAATCTAAAAACTGTTTACTGGCATGAAATTCATCAACATTTTTTGGCAGATTTACCATACTAATTTTGATTTGCTTAGTATGTCATTAAGTAACAAAAGAAATGTGCTGGGAAATAAGAACTTGGTCAATCTACTATTATAAAATCAATACTATTAATGTTATTAAACACTGTCATTCACAGGCATCTTAATTTGCACTTTGAGATATATATATATATAGAAATATATATATATGTATTTCCAAGTTTAATTAAAAAGGCATTCTAAATCAGTGTCAAAGACAAAAACCTGACCACACTGGTAAATGTAGTATTGTTTAGGCACAATAAACTTCAAAGTTTGCTGTTATTTAAATGCTTAGTGAAACTGTTATAACAATGTTAAAATAAGTGGACCATCAGTTCGGCTAACAAATGTTTTGTTATCCCATGATTTTCACTGTAATTTAATTTCATCTGAATAATAACTATTAGCCTTAGAAAAAGCATTTATTATAGCTTTCTCTCCAGCACAAATTCATATAAAATGCCTTTCCCTCATAAGCTTACACATTTATGAGGATTTTCAAGAAAGAGAAAATTTAACACTCAAGTGAATTTCAAAATTGCATGCCATATGTAGGTATATCAAATTATTCTATACAGAGGACACCTGGATCATGAACAGTCCCCTCCACCATCCCAATGTTTTATTGAAAAAAAGAAAGCTGAGATAGATTTACAAAACACTCAAGGGTGCACATTTTGTTAACAGCCACTATAGGAAACAAAAGACATAATTCTTGTCCTATAGGAAGTCGCCTAGTGAAATCATTCTAATTACTACAGGCCCTAAAACCACGTAGTTACTGAAAAGCCTGACAAACTGTTAAGAAAGGTGTGCAGATGTCAGAAAAACAAAAACAACCCCCCCCAACTACCTTACACAGAATATGCTCTTATACTTAAAACACTTTTGAAAAAATAAGGACACAAATTACACACTGACAAATCCAAGTATAATCAAAGACACCCCAGTGGAGCATCGAAGATAGCACAATGCTTTGTCCAGACTTGAACGTGTTAACATGAGGCTTATGTGCTTTATAAAACCATTTTGGAGTTAAAAAAGAATCCGCTGGCTAATCTCGATTGGTTAACAAGAAATTGAAAACCATTTTTAATTATTGTTAAGAGGATGTAAGGCGCAAGGGATGAAGTCAACGCTGGGCCCTCTGCACATACATACAATCAAGGGAGTGTCTACAGGGAAAAGAGTGGTGCTCAAATTCTGAATCAAATGTCCTGAGGCTTTCACATTTATTACTGCGAATTAGTTCAGTTTATAGTACGTGAGGAGAGACGGATAGGGACCTCTCTTTGTCGAGGAGTCGTGACAGCAAAATCACTTCCTGGGGAAGGAGGAGCAAAAGGGAAGTTAAGAGGCCACCCTGACCAGGAAGTGGCTCGCCCTAAACTAGCCTCAATCACATTTAAAAATGGGGGGATGGGGTAAGCCCTAGCAGCTCAAGGCAATGGGAAACAACTGCCTCTTAATACGCCGCGACATCACCATCGTCCCCTGTCTTAATCGAGTCCACAGCCACGATTCAGTAAGGGAACATCTCTTTTCTTGCAGGAAGGGCCCCTGGGCTGTGCAAGCCCAAAAGGAAAAGAGTCCAGAAATGGGGAACTGGGGCCACTGTGAGCCTGGGTAAACCCCTCAAGAGAAAAGCGTCCCAGCTGCGGAAGGCGTTAAGTCAGCACGGGCTAAGAAGCTTCTTTCTCCTGGGGTCCCTTCCAGGGTTCCCACTGCAGCGGGTCGAACTCCTGTTCCCTGTCGCGGGAGGAGGTGAGAGGGAGAGAGGTGTACCCCTTACCTTCTCCTCATCCGACACCCGATCCTCGAAGTCGGCCATCTTGGCTGCTCTGGCCCAGCCCGGCCCGGCGCGAGGCAGGCCGGGAAGGAAGCTGAGTGATGGAAGCACCGCGGGGGCCATCGCAGGGACCCGCCCGGAAACGCTGAGCCGGAGGGCGCCATGTCAGTTACGGGCGCTGGGGCTGGGGTGGCTCAGAGCGGCAGCGCCTCAGGAAGTCTTCCTTGCCTTAAACGATTTTTAAGTCTAATAACGTCCTCTCTGTGTTACATTCATTTCCTCATTCATCTATGAGGGTGCGTGTTTCGACTGTTCTTGGCGCCCGAGCTCCATGCAACCAAATAGCAATTGTTACTCCTATAGGTTTCCCCAATACCAGTGATTTCCATCGCAGACGAGTCCAAAAGAAGAGCGGCGCGGCCCTGCTCGCTCCGTAGCTTTTCCAAGCCCAGGAAAGGGGTGGGGGGGGGTGAAAGGTGACCCTTACTCGTATGGAAGCAACACTTCACATCTCAGTCTAGTTTCTGCAGGAGTAGGTGCCGCTATCCGCCCCTTCCCTCCCTCGGCAGGAATAGGTAGCCCCAGTCCTGGGACGCTCTTTCATCTTCCAAATCTCGGTCCCCGTTCCCTGGGACGCTCAGCCTTCACAGAGGCCGACTTCAAATCCGCCACTATCCCAGGATTCCCGACTCCGGGTTTCCTGCCCTTCTCCCCCTCCCAGCTCCCGGCGACTGAGGGAGCGGCAAGATGGCGGACGGTGGCGGGTTGGCTGAAGCCGCTACTGCTGCGGCTTCTCCTCCGGCACCTGCTCCCGGCCTGAGCCCGCCGCTGGGCTGGAGCGAGCGGCTACGGGCCAGGCTGGCGGGGACTGGGGTCTCGCTGTGGTTCGTGGTGGGGCTGGGGCTGGGGCTGCTTTACGCTCTGAGGGTCCCGCTGCGGCTGTGTGAGAATTTGGCAGCGGGTGAGAGGCCCAGACTTCCCCGGGGACGGGCAGGGGTCCAGGAGAGGTCCCGGGGGCAAGGGCTAAAGGGCACAGATTCAGTGGTCACTGGTTTCGGAGAAGTCGATGCGGTGCGACCGGGTAGGTTTTTTTTTCTCGGGCCGGAATTCCGCAGCTGACTGTCAAACCCCAGCTGTCGCCGCCTACTCCTCCCGGGAGCTAAGGTCCGCCCTCCCTCTGCTGTCCTTGTTTACCCGAGGAGACGCCACCCGACGAGCTGTAAGCTTCAGGCGGTAGGACAGAGGCGAGCACTTGCAGACTTGGAAGCAGAATTTATACACTCCCCTTCCTCTCCGCCATTGGCAGGATCCCTTGAAAACCAGCCCTTTGAGTCTCCCGCCCCCCATTTGCGGGTACCCCCAGCCCAGACGACAAAGATGAGCGCTTCTGCCCTCCGCTTTAGACAGCGAAGAGCTTAAAGAAAATGCCGTGATCTTAACCACCCATTCTCAAGTTCTAAAATAGTTTCGTCAAGCCATCGTTTTCCTGATATTTTTGGCTGTTCTTTGCTTTGGGCCTTACCTGGAGTAATACAATAGAAAAGTACAGGTAGTAAAGATAGAGAGAGCAACAGATAGCAGCGGGCACTTCCCTGGGTTCTTTGCCTCAACATTTGCAGGGAGCTTGCGGTGTAGTCTGGGCCGAGGGTGCAAAACGCGTGGGAAGTGACGATCCCCGGGGTGCTGCAAATACTCCTCTAACGGTAGCCAGGACACCGTGGATGGGGGCTGGGGCCGCGTCCGGAGTCCTTACAGTGTTTCCACCCCGGCCCCGAATAGCAACTTCAGCACAAGACGGACGCATTTCTGTTCTGAGATGACTGTGACTGTGACTACCGTGGTTTATTTTTCTGTGTCATGAAAAGGCAAAAATCCCCATTTCTGTTCCAACAGCTGCCACGAAAGACTGAGATAATGCTCGGAAAAGTCTGGACTTTTTAGAACAAAAGTACTATGTAAATTCAGATACAACTAGTATACTAAAGCAAGTCAAATAAATGGGTCTTCCTTCGCTGTTGGGAGTAGCGAATTTGGTGTCTCGGTAATAGGTTAATGGAGTGCTGACTGGTGGTTTTTAGCTCAGTGAAATATTATTTATTGAGTTTCATTTATTTTTCTACACGTTACATGGGCACACCATTTAAGATGAGACTAGGTTACTATGGTAAACTTTTATTTCTTTGTAAACCCCGAAGTACTTATGAGACAGTTATTTGAAATGAGGGATCTGGTCGAGACTTCAGTAAATCGGCCAAGGAGGGAGCTCTCAGGTTGCCGCTGCCCTCGGGCTGTGTTCTCTCTCCACCTGGGGTACCAGATGCGTGGGCTATTTTCTTCCAAATAACTTGAAACACTGGTTTCTATCTCACCAAAATAATTAGGGAGTATTTTAAACCTCTCCTGTAACAGGATGTCTGTTTTGCTATCCTTGTAGATTTATGAAAGTTCTTATCTAAATTATGATTTAGAAGTTATTAGTTTTAATCTCAAAAGGAAGCTAACTTTTCTTATTCTAATTTGTTTATTTAACAGATCAGCAGTGTAAAACCCTCCCCTTATATGTGTGAAGGCAAATTTTTTAAGGGTAGAATACGATGGGACCTTAAGTAGCTTTTTAAAAATTAGAACTTTCTCAAATTAATCTTGTACTAGGTATTAATCCACTTATGTTCCTCCACTCATAGAGACACCTGCATATTTGTAACGAGTAGTTTGAATTTGCATTTTTTTTAACTTTGGATTTTTTTTCCTCCCCTTTTGGCAGTGACAGTATTTTTAAATTCATTGACGCCCAAATTCTATGTGGCACTTACAGGAACATCTTCTTTGATATCAGGACTAATATTTGTAAGTAGTTTCCATTTCCTTCATGCTTTTGTATTTATCTAAAGATCAAATCTCTTTATATGGTTACAATAATTATACATATTTATAGGTCAGCATTCTCAAAATGTGTTCAGCACTTGAAAAAATGGTTGCCTCTCCTCTCCACTTTTAGAGGTTGACAGTACTCACTTGCATGTAGGGGGCTATTGTGTGCTATGGGGGACAGGGGTTGGGTTGCTAACTAAATGCCTGCAGGGCCTGGTTTGGTGCTCTGGCACAAAAATGAGTGAAATGGGCAGAGGTTAAAAGCTGAATTCCGTATTCACTTTGGGGACTGGGTAAACTGGACTGTGCATGCTCCTTCTAGAAGGGGCTAAAACTGATTGTTACCATGTAGAGTTGCAGGCCATTATTACCAGATCTTCCAGTTTTTCCGATGATTCCAAGAGAACCTGGATACACAAATTTTTGTATAAAATTTCATAATACTTTAATCTTGGCAACATTGGACAAACCAAAAACTTACCTCTGTCTTCAATTCAGCCTATAGGCTGCCAGTTATCTTCCCTGGAGTGTTTAAGAGCAGTGATTTGGAGTCAGGTTAACCATCACTTTCATGGTGTGACTTAGAACTAGTTAATTTTCTATGTCCCAATTTTCTTCAGTATAAACTGGGAGCCAGGGTATGAATAGTATTTACTTCATAGGATTATGAAGACCAAATGAGATAAGGTATGTAAAAGCTTTTAACAGCCTGGTAGCTAACACAGAGTGAGCACAATGAATTTTGGCTATTGTTATTCTGAGAAGTCCTGCAATAAAGAAGCCTATTTCACTTTAATTCAGGTTTACATTGTCTTGGTTGACCAAACGTTTGAATTTTTAATTCAAAAAAATATTTTAGAATTTTATAATCTTTATTAACATTCCTAGGAACTAGTGTTTCCTTGAATAAACTTTGGAAAATTCTGCTACCCATAAAAATCTTAGGAAGTATGGCGTGCCTGGCCAATAAATTTTTCTGTACTTTTTTCTCATCTCTAGGTGGTGCTCTCCAGCTATAGTAGAAATAAGAGCATTTGTGTTGGAGTGTGTTGGTTTTGTGTTTTTTTATAAGGACTTGACCATTTTGTTAAAGTGGAATGCCGAACAAGAAAGGGATTTTTCTCTTGCCTTAAAAAAAAAAATTATTGAGGAATTCAAGATGAAAAGTATGGGTTAATATAAGCCTCAAAATTTATTGCTTTATAAAGCCCACTCATAATTAAGCATACTTTAGCATATTTAGTCAATAGCATATGAATCTAAATAAAGAAAATAAACTATCTTTAAATAGCTGATGTAGTAGAAAATGCATTGGTCTTAGAACTAGAAGATGTGGTTTTAAGTCTTGACTCTGCCACTTACTGGCTGATACTTTGGGCAAGTCATATCTGTGTGTCTTAATTTCCTCATTTATAAGAGGGGGGAAATTTTATATATATAACATATTATCTTTTTAAACCAAAGTTTTAAAATTAGGAAATTGAAGTAACATTTTAGAGGGTAAATTATGTCATTACTCTTGTCATATTTATGGGTTTTCATTAGCAAAAGTTATTCTTAATTCCTTTTATCACCTGGACATACCAAACTTGTACATGTACACACATACACATTTACATATACACATACACCATGGTGTGCTTGGGAGGCAGTCTGTGTAGTGGTTAGAAGGTCTGAAGTCAGGCAAACCTGAGTAAGAATTCTAGCTCTGCCAAGTACTAGTGGTGTGAACCGTAGCTAGTTATCTAAAGCTGGAGTGGGTGTCCTCTCTGAAATCAGTTGTGAGGGTTAAATGATGTAATGTATGTAAAGGACTTGGCACAATGCCTGATAAGTATTAACAACTATTATCATTGCTCATTTGTGCTAAAAAGTTGACTCAAAAGGTGAAAAAGACTAAAATTAATAAAACCACCAACACTTAATACAGTGAAAGATAGTTTGTCAATGTTGCCTTTGTGATTACTGTCCCTGACTGTAATCCAATATAAATCTTGCCTTTTCTGTCACATGAATAATTTCTATTTTTGTGATTCGTTCTTGTTGTTTTAAAGAAGCTTCATCCCACTTCTTAGTAAAACATACGATAGAAGCCAAACAAGGGCCATATTTGGTGGTGATTAACTGCCTGCTGACTCAGTAAAAGTGAGCAGGAAAAGAAGCCATTCTAGACTGAGCATAAAATGTGAGTGGCAGGATATAAAAAAATTCTTCACTTTTATTTTCTAGCACTATCTTGTAAATTTTGTAGCATTTAGTCAATGGAGTAATTGGGCTGCAATATAGTGCAAAATGACTGCATAATTTTGGCATCTTTGTTTCCTGAAGCAAAAAATAACATTCCTGAAGATTTAAAAACTGATTTCTCTCTGTGTGTGTGATGACCTGTGTTCGTGATCATAGCAAAATAATTTTTAAAAAGATTATACTCTCTTAGGCAGTTGTGGATGTGTTTGCTTATTCTAAAAGTAATGCATTTGTCTACTACATTTGGCAGAATAGTCTATCAGTTAACTTTTTAAGGGAAATGGTCCACAAATGAGAGGAGAAGACATTAAAGTTATTTTGCAGTCAAAGCATAGAAAACTAGTTACTAATCATTTGAACAATTTGAATCTATAAAGTCCTTGATTGATTGATTGATTATTCATTTGGCAAATATTTATAGAGAGCCTTTTATCTCTTAGGCACTCTTTTGGATGTTGGGGATACCATGGTAAGCAGACAAACACAGATTCTGTTCTCATGAAATGTGGTTTGGAAGGTGACTATGGAAGTTGCTTTATTCATTTAACAATTTGTTACCTTCATTTGGCAGAATTCATTTGACAGTATTCACCTACTGGGTGTCACACTGTTTCTTAGCACTGGGCTAATAGGAATGAACAAAACAGAAGGAAGTCCCTGTCCTCGTGGAGCTTACATTATATTAGAGCAATATATAATAAAAGATTAAGTAAAACAAATAGGCTATTCTCACTATTAGTGTTAAGTGCTAAAGGGGACGGTGAAGCAGAAAAATGGCATGTGAAGTGTCAGAGGGAAAAGGTTGCAATTTGAGACAGGGGAGCTAGGGAAGGCTTCACTGAAATAGTGATTCTTTAGTAGAGGCCTGAAGGACATGAGGAACCTAGCTGTGTGGTTTGTGTTACTTCTTCCTAAAGGAAGCTTGAAGCTTCCGGAGCTCAGGAGCTTGAAGAATAGCAACGAAGTCAGTTGTTTAATTTTTACAGTGAAAAGATTACTCTGAAAGGAAAGCATAGATCCAATTTGAGTCCATCTTTCCTTCTGTGGAATCAGGAAAAGTTTCCCAAGGATGTGTCATTTAAACTGAAACCCAAAGGAGTCAGGCAGAGGGAGTTGAGAAGGTTGGAGTGTCCAAATATGAAACACCCGGCTAATTTCTCACAGAGAGCTGCTTTTTTGTACCAGTGATAAACTATGGAAACAGGAAGAAGTGAATATCCTAATTTTTAAATGGTTCAAAATTCGAATCAACCTGACTCTTAAACTACATTAATAATACTGCCAAATACTGGAATAGTACCTTCTTGCTTAAAAGACACCTATAATTCTTGTATAACCACATTTAGTAGATAGGACATTGAGACTTTGAGAGGTTAGAGTTTAAGTGACTTGCCCAAAGCACACAGCTAATAGATAGCTAAATCAGGAGTCAAATGTGGGCATTCTAACCCTAGTCTAGTCCACCATGCTAGTTGTTTCAAACTTGGTTGCCTTTTTTTTTTTTTTTAATAATGCTACAGATAGAATAAAATGACAATGTCATAGAACAGAGTTAGATTATCTATAGATTAAACCTTTTTATTGTTTTTAATGCTTTATTTATAGATGTATTACTTCTAGTTTCACCTAAGCTTGTCTAAATTTCATGACAAAGCTATGAAAAAGGTATTTCATTTTTGCCTGACCTGTGTTATTGGGGAATCTTGTGTTTCGTTTGTTTAATTATTTACTTATTTGGATGGAGAGCAAATTTAAAATGCTGAATTAAAAAGGAACATCTTGAAATAATGTTTTAATTTGAGCTCGTATATCTGCTGATCAGTTCTATATTAAGTGAAGGATGTTCTCTGTTTGTCATAGATATTTGAATGGTGGTACTTCCATAAACATGGCACATCTTTTATTGAGCAAGTGTCTGTAAACCATTTGCGACCATTGATGGGAGGAACAGAAAACAGCATTTCAGAGCCAGGTTCTCCTTCCAGCAACAGAGAAAGTGAAACCAGCAGACAGAATTTGTCAGGTGACTACTTATCTAATGTGTTTTAGAGCTGAATAGTTAAAATTGAGTTTGGCTGTGGGAGATAGAAAACTCACAACAGCAGAGAGAAGTTTGTCTTTCATGCAAATATAGGCAGTCCACAGCTTATGATGTAGAGCCTGATCCTCAGAGGCCCAGACTCCTATTTCATTAGCCTGCCATGTCCACATGCAGTTTTGCCTTGTGGTCCAAGACTCTGGCTCCAGCTCTCATATCCACATTCCAATCAGCAGGAAGGAGACTAGGCCAGGGGAAGTATACCCTTTCCACCTACCTCACCCCACAGCAGCCAAGGACACTTCCCAGAAGTGTTACATACTGTTTCAGCTTACTTCTGACTGGTTGGACCTTTGTCAAATGGTTACAGCTATAAAGGAAGCTAGAGATTGTAATTATTTCCTCAGTGTATATATGCCCAGCTAACATTGAATAATTAGGGGATCATATTAGATATAGGAGAGAACAGAGACAATTCACATCTCTTGCAAGAGAGCAAAGTTAGGAAAAATGCCTTTTATTTTCAATGTATCTACAAGAACATCAGAATAATAGTTATTTAGGTATGGGTATTCCATTGTGCTTTAATTATATATTTTTTCTCTATATGTATCTAGTAATACAAAAATAAATATGAATGGTATACAATTAGGACAGTAAAATTTTCAAAGCCAAATAGAAATATTTTTCAATTATTCATTTCATTTGGTATAGATAATAATCATACAGCAGTCATACAAATGAGTTAATTCCATAGATTGCCATAAGGTCTCATTTGTTTAACAAAACTAACCACTAGACTTATATTCATTTAGTAGAAGAATACTACCTGAGTGCAGTTGCTGGCACTTTTTAGATGTGGTCAGAGGAAGTCTCTGAAAAGTACCATCTAAGCTGAGCCCCGAAGCATGAGTGGATGTTGACCAGGATACTAGGGATGGGGTTGGCAGCCATTCGAGAGTGCAGGACGGAATAATGGTAATTTTCCTTCCCCTTCTCCTTTCTCCTCTTTCATAAAATAACTACAGAAATCCTAACAGTGAAACATATTATGATGAATATGATGCAGTTCTCAAGTAGCACAGAGTCCAGTATGTAAATAATTATATAACAATGATGCATTATATAACCTTATTCCCTATTGTAAGATTGAACGTACCATTTCGTAATGGGAGTGAGGATAACCTTAAGAACATTCCAGTTTAGTAGCGAATACAGACATATAAATAAGGAAGGCAAAAGATATAAAAGATACTTAAATAAAGTGCATAGAAGATACTGTGGTAACAGAAAAGAGGGAGTAGTTAGTTATTCTTGGAAGGAGGGCCGCAGAAATGTTACACAGAACTGCTTGAATTGACCTTAGAAGTGAGTCAGAGTTCTTCTTTGGTTCAACTTTCTCCCCCTGGGTTACTATATCTCATCCTGTAATATTATCTTCCACAGATACATATACTGAGAGAACCAATTTTGAATTTATACCTCCAAGTTCTAGACCCACATTTCTAACTCTTTGCTAGAAATCTCTACTTTTGATGGCTTTAAGCCCCTAAGCTTACTCTGTCCAAAATGAAACTATCTTCTTTCTATAGGTCTCTCTTTTTTTAAAAAAGATTTTATTTATTTATTTTCAGAGAGAGAGGGGAAAATATAGGAAGAGAGGGAGAGAAATATTAATGTATGGTCACCTCTTGCATGCCGCTAACTGGGGATCTGGCCACAACCTCCCTCAGACATGTGCCTTGGCTGGGAATGGAACTGGCAACCCTTTGGTTTGCAGGCTGCACTCATTCCACTGAGCCACACCAGCCAGGGCTTAATAGGTCTCTTAAAAATCCTAAAATCTGTTAATGGTACCCAATTCCCATACTAGAAGCCTTTGAGTTGTTTCAGATTATGTCTCTCTTATTTTTGCTTTCTTCTCCAAATAGTTGACCTCTGTCATATTCTATTTATTCCCATCAAAAATTATTTTGACTCCATCCTACCCTCTTTTATTCCAACATTTATTGCCCCATATCTAGGCTCTCAACATCTCTTTTCTAGACTATTTCTATAGTATCCTAACTGGTTTCTCTGCCTCTGAAAATTTCTTTTTGTACGTTCTTTCCTCTTATTATGTAGAAAAGTGGTTCTCAAACTTTTTGGATTCAGGAATACTTTATACTGTTAAAAATGATTGAGGACCTCAAAGAATTTTGTTTATATATATTTATTATATCCCTAATATTTATTGTATTAGAAATTAAAACAATTTAGAGGTTAAAAGGAGTAAACTGCAAGTGTTCTCAATGCTGCTGACTTTGCCTTCTTCTGAGGTTCCTGGAAATGACAAGCTCAAGTTTGGATAGCAGTGAAAAGGGTTTCTTCGAAGATAAATTAGATGAAGAAAGTGTGATTCTCACATTGGGTCCAGTTAATGAGGAACACAATGGAGAGCATCAAATGGAACCAAGCGTTTCTTCAACCTCAGGAGCCAACCTGAGGATGCCTAGGACAAACAATACAGTTTATTTTCCTCAAATGAATGAACAATTCAAAGATTACCCCAAACCAATTTTTCCCTTGCCAACCATTTTGCCTTCAATTAATAAAGTGCATCGTGATACTTTGCAGAACTGGTGCCAACAAATTAATTTGAGTACTGAAGGCAAGAAAATAGAGATTTATATGAGGCTGAAGGCACATGCTTACTCTGAAGAAAAACAGTATTGCTGAAACACCACAGGAGACCACACTGCAGTCCTTTTTGAGGAAATGCAAGATGGTGACCAAGAGAATAAGGAGTAATAAAACTTATAAGATGAGTAAGAGAGAGAAAGAGACCAATATAGTTGAAGTGGTAACTTCAGCTCAGGAGGCCATGTTGGCAGCATGGTCAAGAATTGCTGCAAGAGCAGTGCAACCTAAGGCTGGGAATTAATTCATGTTCCATTCCTGTTTCTACTGAGAACTTTCTACTGCAAACATCTGGTGTCAGGTGGTGGGTGGTCCATGGCAGACCTCTGCTGGCATACAAAGAGGGGTGGGTTCGTCTGCAGTTCCATGCTGGTCAGGCCTGGGTGCCTGACACTCCCAAGAAAATGATCTCTCTTCTGTTACTGGCCTGCACTTTCCCATCCTCAGACCTAGAAGATATATGTTATGCCCAGAATGTGTTAAGAGAAATAAAAGGATGATGGGAAGATTAATTAAAATGAAGAAGAAACCTCATTTGAACACATGCACATCATTGCTTTTGGATGGGTCATGTCTCAATAAAGAGTAAATGGTAGAGTGCTCACAGCTAAGTTGACCTGTAAAAAAAGCAATTAAAACAATTTAAAAATATTTATTAATTATTTTAAAGTAACGGTAAACCCATTGCATGTTAACATTTTTATCAAATGAATTGTGTCCCCCCCAAATTTGTATGTTGATGCTCTAACCTCTCTTGTAACTATCTTATGAGATGGGCCTTTTAGGGGGTAATTAAGGTTAAATGAGGTTTTTAGGGAGGGGTCCTACCTTGATAGGATTGGTAGCCTCATAAGAAGGGGAAGAGAGGCGAGTTTCTCCCTCCACGATGGGAGGAGACCTGTCAGGGCACAGAGGAGAAGACAGCCGGCTACAAATCACAGAGAGCTCTTGCCAACACCCCCTACCCCCGTCCGCTGGAACCCTGATTTCAGACGCAGAACTGCGAGAAAATAAATCTTTATTGTTTAAGCGCCTAGTCTGTGGTATTTTGTTAATGGCAGCCTGAGCTGACTATTATGATAAATGATTTTAGTCAGAAGACTACCTTCCTTTAACATTTATTTAAATCTTTTCAATGTCAGCTTCATAGAAGGCACCTTTTTCTCCTATCTGCTTCTACATTGTTGTGATCTGTTGTTTTAGTTGAAGTATATGAACAAAATCTGGTCTCACACAGATAAGTAGTTGGAAAAGGGTGGAATATTTTAATAAATTTTTAAGAAAATTGTGGATATTCTTATTTTAATACTATACCAAAACTTACCAAGAGGTACTTTCATAAAGTTTAGTTGGAGTGTGGAATCCAAAGCTATACCAATTAACTTTCCAGTCTGTCACATTGAAATCCACTGGTGTGGCTTGAACTTTGAGCAGGTCTTTTACTTATGCATACTTTCATAACATCATTCATTGGTCATTTAGAAAATACTTGTTTACTGAGTTATGCACATCTTCCAAATGATACATTTTATTATACAGTTAAAATATCACATTTGTTAATATAATCACTAATATCACAGAAAAGTCTAAGCATTGGGAAATTGCCAGGCTCACAATAGCAGATACAGGTTTTTAAAAATTCTAATATTTACTCAAAAGCTCAAATTTTTTTAAAAGATTTTATTTATTTATTTTTAGAGCAAAGGGAAGGGAGAGAGAAAGAGAGGGAGAGAAACATTGACTAGCTCCAACTGGGGTACCCCACAACCCCAGCTTGTGCCCTGATTGGGAATTAAACCTGCTACCGTTTGCTTTGTGGAACAACACCCAACCAACTGAGCTGCACCAGTCAGGGTCAGAAATCTCATTTAATCATTGACAGCAAATACTGTTTTTTCTTCCTTGAATTTGACACACCACTTTGTTCACCTTTGAGAAAATGTCTGCCAGGTGCCTGTCCATAACCATAAGTATTTCTCTTGGTAGCTCTTTGAAGAAAAAGTGATGTTGGAAGGTAATGAATCCAATAATGACTAGTGCAATTCGGTGTCACTGCCTTGACTCAGGCTTAATTACAGTTTCACCCACCATTGGTTTCCTACCATCAGCTCAACTTTGCAGGATGGGCAACTAGGGTGAAGCAAGTCAGGTGCCTGGGACAAAAAAAATTAAGGGAGCCCTCACTCTCAGGGTTGAGTGCAAGTCAACACAGTTAAAAAGACAAATGTCCTTAATGTCATAGTTTTTGTTATGAAAACAGTTGTTACTTTGCACTTCCATGAATCATACTTTAAGAACTGCTGATCTGAACAAAGATCTGATATCTGTTGTTATTTTGCTTATAAACCTTTGATGACTTCTGACTAAGCATAATACCTATATTCCTTTATATAATTGGTGAATCTCCTTCACCAATTTCCCCATTGTATTTTCTTACTTTATTTACAGCTCTCACCTCCCTGCCCTGTATTATAGCCTAACCATGCCGTGTGGTTTTATGATACTTCATTCATTTAGAGTATTATGGCACCCTTCTGCTTATCTATGGTGGTTGGTGACTCAGTGTCAGTTCAAACTGACCTTATCATCTTATTTCTAAAGCGTTCCATAATTTCCACAGAGCAAAATTAATCACTTTGTGTTTCTCTGTTGGAATAAACCGTATCTCTACTATAACACTTACACAATTTAGGTGATAATTTACAGGACTAACTCTCATGCTACACTTAATTCTTTTAAACAAGTTAAGTTCAAATGTTGTGCTAGGCTCCAGGGATATATACAAAAAATGAACAAAACTTTAAGAGCCCATATTTAAAAGGGAGAAACTTAAAACCAAACAGATAATCATATTATAATATGGTAAGTGCTATAATTGAATTTGAACCAAGTGCTATGAAGACAGAAATAAGGGAATGACTAGATGTAATTCCATGCTTTGTAAGGTGGGGTTGATCCATGCCTTATTTACCTCTGTGCTATCAGTGGCCAGCACTGTTCTTAGCATACAGTGACTATACAATAAATGTTGGTGAATTAAGATTTGACTGCATTTAATTAAACTGTTATTTCCTCCCTTTTCTCCTTTGTTTTTTAGAATGCAAAGTATGGAGAAACCCTCTAAACCTTTTCAGAGGAGCAGAATATAGGAGGTATTATATTTTGCTTTAAGTATAATTATGGCATTGGTTTTAAAGTATTATGGAAACACTTGTTTTTATCAATATATCACAGCTCTTCTAGTTGGAGATACTGATATTTAATAAGGTAAAATGATTAATCCAAGCTTAGTTGACAGTATCTTGACTGTTTTTACCTTTATGATCATGAGAAACATTGCTTCAAACCATATATTTGTAATACATAGTAAGTATACATTTGGCCCCTGGCTTATGGCAGAAGGCCTTTGCAAAGAATTTTTGAGATTAAGAAAAAAAATTTCAAATGTTAGTATATTCTTACACATATTTGCTCCATTTCAAAATTTGAGGATTCACTAGAAAATATCAATCTGAATGTGAATGTGAACTTCATTTGTGCAACAGTACAGGGCATAGTATTTTTATATTGTATTTTATACTGCCATTTTTGATCTGCTCTATTATGGCCATTTCTCTCCTGATTTTTACACTAAATGAGAAAACATCTTTTTAAACCTATGACCAAGGATACTTTATGTTTTACCTGGAAGTAGACTGGGCATATTATTTGATTCATTGAACGAGAAACATTATGTGCCTGCTATGGAGGGGCACCATGTGAAATGATGGGGATACCAAATGATAAGCAGTAATCCCTGTTCTTAAGGAGACTTGATAGTGTAGGACACAGTCAGTCCTGGGAAGTGAAAACCAGGCTTTTATGAGAGATGCCATTAGCTCATATTAAGGGATTCTGCAAGAAGAAGAGGTCCTGGAATTTCTCGCAGTGTTCTTTAAAAAGTTTTTAGGTTATTTCTTGTTATATTATACATGTCTACTTCATGAAGATTTTAAAGAGAAATTTCTTAGTATCAGGAGCACTTATGCTTCTTTTGAATGGTTTGTCTTAATGTAAAAGTCTAAATTGCAATGATAAGAATTGTGTGGTTCTAGAAAGCTTAAAGTCATATTGTAGCCATGTGTTAGCCGCATTCCAGACTCCACTTTATGGCCCGATCCTTGTTTGTACTTTACTCAGTCGTTTTTAATTCTAGTTTATATTATTGATACTGCATATTATATTTTAACTTTTAAGTCATTTGGGAAAAATGTAGATTGTTAATAAATAATTTTTATAGTTTCATAATGTGTAGCAAAACTGCTAGGTGAAGAAGGATTGCTGTTTTTTCTTTATGATAATTTCCCACAAAATGGCTAAAAACTTTAAACAGCAAGGCAACTCATACTATTAAGTAATTTAATATCTTTAATCACTTATATAAATAATACAATGTACTTTTAAAGTGCTTTTTTTCAGATTATACAATGTATGCATATTCATCATAGAAAATAAGAAAATAAAGAGATATATGAAAAAGAAAGTAAAAAAATCACCTCTTCTTACCACTAAGTAATAACTGCTATTAGTATTTCCATCCAATCTCTCGTCTATATGCATGTATAGAAACAAAACTTGAACATCAGAATGTGTGAATTTCTCACAGAATTTCTTTAAAACATAAATTTCTTCAAAAACATGATTTTTAGAGTTTGTATTTATGATCCTTACCTACTACTCCCCTGTCTTGATCACAGATTATATTTCACTGTTAATATTTACACTAGAGAGATATCTCTATATATAAATATTGAGCCACATACATGATTATTTCCTTAGGTTTGATTTGTTGCATTGGGATTACTCAATCAAGGGGTGTGAACAGTTTTTTCCATTCCCTGTACTCTTTTCTTTGATAATGGAAAATTTGAAAAATAATAATAGAGAGGATGGTATAATATAATACAATATAATACAATATAATATAATATACCCTTCCTCTAGCCAGGTGTGAATATTTTTAAGGCTCTTGATAGATATTATCTAATTGGTTTTTGGAACCAAAAGATGTACATGCTAACTTACATTTATACCAGCAGTATATGTCAGTCCATATTCCACCTGACAACATATGCATGTTTGCCAACTTGATAGAAAAATTAAAGTAAAAATTTATTTTAATTTGCTATTTGTTAATTACTAATGAGATTACACATTTAAAAATGTATTTATTAGCCAGTCTGTTAACTTGAAATTATTATTGTGGGTCTCAGGGGGAAATGAAAGCTTAAATTTCTAATTTGGTAACATCTGAAAAAAGTTTTTCTTTGTTTTTATGCTTTGAAAGCCCTTGACCATTTGACATCTAGTAAAAATTCACCGTGTTTTCTTCTTTCTTTGTAGTTTTACTTTTAATTCTTAATCCTAACTCACTGAGAATTTATTGAAGTATATATTTAATAAGATATATATCTAAGCCAAATTGTTTTATCCCTTCAAGTCCAATTTTGAAGAAGTGTTTGTTGAATAATCTAACATTTTCCCTTTTAGTTTTTGATGTTTGATTATACTCTAACTTGTTTGTATAGGTAATCTCTTTTATTTTACTGATTATAAGAAGCTTTAAAAAACATCCTGAAATAGAATTTTTAGCAGAATATTTTTGCATTTTAAATAGTGTCTGTTATAGCAAATTGATGCTCTCCCCTGTTCAATTTTCATGTTTTCTTGTGTTTTGGTAAAGATACACTTGGGTGACTGGTAAAGAGCCACTTACATACTATGACATGAATTTGTCAGCTCAGGACCATCAGACCTTTTTCACCTGTGACACAGACTTTTTACGTCCTTCAGACACAGGTATGTGTCATCTCTGTTCATGGGGTGAACATGAAGTTGTTTGCATTATTGATAAGAAACCCAGATTAAATTGAAAATAATTACTATTGTAAACTAGTCTGTTATACTACCTTTCCTTCTTAAAGTGTTTTATCAAAATATTGCTTTTATTATTATTTTTAAAAAATCTTTCAGATCAAATATAGCAACTGCTTATGCAGAGAAAAATGGACCCAGTCTTGATATGGGAAGTTAACACATGCAAAAGGAGGAGTAAGACAGAGTGTAAACATTGGGGCAAGGCATGTAGAGAAAAATAGGACATAATTTTATTCCAGTCATAAATTAGAGATGCACCTAAAATGGTGGAAGATCATAGAAACACCTGTTTAATTCTCCGTAAGCTCTTTTCTGTAGAAAGATTATTGAGACTCTTAAATATATGACTTAGAGACAGACATCTTTATCACAACTAGCCCTCTACTTTGAATGCCCTCTTCCTCCTTATCCTTCTGCTTCTGTCCTTCAGGATCCAAATCAAAAGTCACGTTCTCTAGGAAGCCTTTTTCTGCAGTTCTACAGTACTTAGTCCAAACCTCAATGAAACAGTTTTCAACCACAAGCATTTGTTAATGTTATCATGTTGCTTTAATGTTTGTCCTCCCTAACAGGGTGTGAAACTTTGGAAAGCAGGTACTATAGTCTCATCATCTTTGAATCCCTATCATCTAGCACAGAGCCTGCCTACTGTAATTATTAATATTTATTCTCTAATGAAAGTGTGAATGAGTAAGTTGTACGGGTGTCACAGGTGTCTTCGGCAATTTCACTAGTAAGAATTAACACTTGCAGAGCACTTATTATGTACCAAGCAATGTTCTAAGCAATTTACATATATGTACTAATTTTATCTTCCTAATCACTTTATGAGGTAGGTGCTATTATCAGCCTCATTTTAAAAATAAAGAAACAGAGGCAAAGGGGAATCAAGATGCCTAAGTCATCTAGCTATTAAATGATAACTCTGGCTTTCAAACTCAAGTCTGGCTCTTGTCCACCACATTATTGCCATGTTGCCACTAGTACTCACCACAGAAACAGGCAGAAGAAAATCACCATTAATGAGGTCTGAAAAATAGCCAGTTTTCCAGCATTCACGTGAGTTCATTGTGATATCTCTTTGCTGGATTAAATATACTAAGGGTGTGTGGTAGCAGGAAACCCAAGGATGTTTGGTATGATTACATTAAATGATTTAATTGTAAATAGGAGAAAATGGAATTGCTTTATGTTTATATGCTTAATGTTTACATTAATGATGAAAGTATAGGTGTTGGGGAAGTAGCAGTGGAAAGTCAGTTTTGTATCTTAACTTTAAGGACTGAAGTGACTCTGGAAATTGAGGCTTCACCATCTTCTCACAGGCAGAGTTGCAGATATTGGGGGCTTTTTAGATAGCACCCATGGCTATCCACTAAAGCCGTGGTCTTAAAACATTTGTGTTTACATACCTTTTAAGAGAATTTTGAAAAACTGTATCCCTTCATGTACGTTTAAGTTGATATCATAAGGTTAAATAATTGGTAAGAATGTGGTTTTTGACGTATTATAAATATAGATTTTAAAAAATAAGACTAGGCCCTGGCCTGTGTGGCTCAGTTGATCAGAGCATCATCATCCCTCAAACCAAAAGGCACATGCTTGGGTTGGGCTGTGAGTTTGGTCCCTGGTCGGGGCTTGTACAAGAGGCAACCGATTGGTGTTTCTCACATCAATGTTTCTCTCCCTCTCTCTTCCTTCCCCTCTAAATAAATAACTACATAAATAAAACTAGAATACACTATATTTAAATGTATCTCAAGGCATATAATGTCTTGATACATACCATTATTCGTTGAAAAATACATGAACAGATACTCTTTAACAGTAGTAAATTTTATATAAGTCCTTTTTGTTCTGGAATTTATATCCATTCCATATTTCACATGATTTTAATATAATTATTTTATGTTTGAGAGTCTTTTATCACATGTATGTGCTTTGCCACAATAAAATTTTTTTGTATAAATATTTAGAAATTTTAATTTCCTTTGACCATGACATTCTAAGTGGTATCGTGTACTTTAATTTTATTTTTGTCAAATCCTTGAAGCTACATTTTTAAATCTCTCAACTTTGGAAAATGTCCTCCATATAACCTACTTGACTGGGTGAGTTCTCATGGTCAATCCTATTAACCAAATCAGACTTACTTTCTGACAAAGTCTGATTTCATTTTTCAGTTCAAATAAACATATTAACATGTATCCCATGACAACTATCTCTTCTGAATTTAGATTATAAGATAGAAAGATAGCCTTGTAGATTCCACTGCCTCTATTATTTTTTAATAATGCCCCTTTTGCCTTCCTGTGAGGGGACATGCCTTTTGAGCAATGCACTCTTTGATAGTAAGGAGAGAGGGGGGCTGATAAATGGAAATGATAAAAATTATCACTCCTTCCCCACTCTACAGTATATCTGAATTAAGTGCATCCAAAGGCCAGAATATCCTAATTCTAATGCTGAGCTTCACCGTTAAAAGAAATAAGTGAAAGACAGAATCCCTATTACAGGTTCCTTGATTAAAAATGGCAGTTCCTAAACGAGAACTTTGAATTGCTCCTTTGGAACCTGGAGATTTTAAATTTTTACACTGTAGAGCAATGCACCTTAGAAAGATTCAGGGTGGGTGAGAAGTAAGCCTTCCTTTCATAAAGGAGAAAGGACTGTATCTTTTGGGGTGTGAGGAGCAGATGTTGGATAGGAATAGAAGACCTGCATGATTGCATAGACCAATCAGAGAAACATTCTTCTGGTCAATCAGTTATGGAAAAGAGTCATGTAAAGTTGAGGCTTTAGAAATTGATTCTTTTAAAACCACGCATCCCATTTTGGTCCTTGCAAAGGTTCATGTACACGTAATCCCCACTAAAGACTGAACTCAATGACAGACTATCTGTGAATGATAATGCAGAAATGGACTGTTGGTTCCATATTGATCTTTTTAGACACTCACATAAAGGTAATGATTTATATCTGTAGATTTAGATTCAGAAAAGACAAATGTGTATATCTGTGGTGTGAAAATTTCTTTTGACTATTGTCGTCAGGAATTACTACATGAGTAGATTTTGTTCTCATCCTGTTGATTTATCTAAAACAGAAACATATTCTCAGGGTCAGTCAGAAGTGTTTTTGGATAATTCATTTTCATGGTATTTTTTTCAATTTAAAAATTAGAAGACTTAACATTAAAATTCAGATTTACACTTTCAGAAATTTGGAAAATATGACAAACTTGGACCTGCATTTCCACTTGGCAATAATCAGTTAAACCTGAGCTGCGAATCTCTCGTTTAGGCAGTGCATGTGTTTTTAGTTCATTCATTCATGTCTTGTGCCTGGTCTTTGTAAGCATTTATATGTATGACTCCTGATCTTGGGATAAGTGTTAGAGTCTTGTTAGCATGTTAGAATACTATTTAACTTGAAAAATAAATAAATTTGATTGAATTGCTAACTGCTTGTGTTTTTTTTAAGTATATCAAGAGTCCTTAAAACAGACAGTTGAATACTAAACCAGCATTTTGCTTTAAATTATTCCTAAACCTTTTTTTAGAAGGAAATACATATTTTCTTCCTTTACTTAATTTCCTGTTTGACTTAGAACTGCATTGGTTGTGAGGAATAATGTTGAAAGGCCGGGTAGAACAGTTGAAAATAAAAGAATAAGAAAAAAATGCATAAAGGTGGATTCGATGACCTTACTAGAAATAAAAGAAATATAAATGCAAATGAGATAGTTTTCATGTGTTAACAAAGACTGATATTATTCAGTGTTGGTAAGGAAGTAGGGAAGCTGTCACTCTCCTACACTGCCTGAAATAAAGTAAATTAATGCAATTTTATTGAGAGGAGTTTTGGAGTACAAATTCAAAGTCTTTTAAAAAATGCATACATTTTAAACAACCATCCCTCTTCTTGGTCAGGTATACAAAGATAGATATTAAAAGGTGTTTATCACAATATTTCTATTTATGAAAAAATTGGGTGTAACTTAATTGTCAAAAGAGAATGGGTTAAATAAATTATAATACATATTTAATATACTAGAATACCAAACCATTTAAAATGTTGGTAAAGATTCAGTGTCAAAATATGATTTGTGACTATCATGTAACTTATAGAAGAGAGCCCATCACCAAAAATGGTGTCTAATATTATACTTAATTTTATCTTATATTTTGATGTTTCAGCAAAATGCTATTCTTTACCTGGTTTTTATCAAATGGGTGCTGATGTGTATCAGTTTGTCAAGTTCAGGAAGCATTAGCTGTCAGCTAACTGGTGACATGTTTGATATCAGAAATGTATTTTTGTTACACAATAAGAATATATTGTCTCATTTTCTAAGCCAAGACTAATATTTTGTTTCCAAAGGAAAACTCAAACATTTTCCACATTATTCTTTCTGGACAGTTGTAGGGTTTGTTCCAAAAGCAACATTTATAGATTCTCTATTTTTCTTATCAAACTTGACATAGGCCAGATATTTTCATGAATCTACATTATATAATTTTTAAGAAACTTTACTTAGTGTGAAATTTTGTTTGGTACTGTAAATGGTAGCAAAACTAATATTATTTTAGAGAGAGTATAGTTCAGGCTTTTGTTGAATCTTGGTAGAGACTGGCATTTTCCATAAATGTACTATATTCTAAATTAATCCCCCATCCCACCTTTAATACAAAATACAAATTCAAACATTCTTCTTGGATTGAATCACTGCTTAGACAAAGTCTTTGTTTATAAGTGTTTTGTATACTTCCAGAAGTTCCAGAGAACCTTTTCAAAATGATAAGGAAATAGACTATTTCATATTGATTATAATATCATGTCACTCAAACTCAATTTTAATATGCATTTAGATATATAAATGTTCATGTCTAATAATGATATAATTAATTTGATTAAGTACATCATGCATTGCTATTTAAATAGAACAGAAAAACAACATATTTATTTTTATTATATGCGAAGCTGCCAAATTTAATGTAAATTTCTCACAAGGTTAATGTGAGGTAGCACCCCAATTTCTTGTTTCTTACATTTACGTCCATGTTATTTAAGTCTTTGTTTGCTCTCCTAGCTCATTCTTCATATGTTTTGCATAAGATTATTTATGTTTACCATCTCATCTACTTTTTGAAATATTTTTTCTACAGTTATGCAGAAGGCATGGAGGGAAAGAAATCCTCCAGCTCGAATCAAAGCAGCCTATCAAGCTTTAGAATTAAACAATGAGTAAGTCTGAAATATATGGACAATAAGTTTGTTTTGAAGGAAACCCAGGCAAATGATTTAATGTTTCCTTTGTTCCTAAGAAGCTTGGAGTCATTAGCAGTCTCCTTTCTCTTTTTGCATACTAGAGACAAAATTTGCAGTATGCACTGACACATGTATTGGCTTCTGAAATTGTCAATTGATCTATGCTTTTGAATAGAAATTATGCTAGAAAAACTTTAAACTGGAGAGTGCCGATCTAATTGGTGATAATACTTGATAGTTAAAGAGTACTAAAATACTATGTCACTTGTTTTACTTTTGTTTTTCATTTAAATCATTCATTTAAAGCATTCATTCAGCCCTGAGAACTTCAGTTGTTAATGGGATTAGAGGCATGAGATGGGGATTCAAAATAATAAAATGTAGTCCTAACTCAATTTTTTCATGTTAACAGCATTTATTTTTTATAGCTCTTTGTATTAACTTTTATGTTTTGAAAAGACAAAATGTTAAATTATAAGTCAACTTAATATTTAAGTGGGACAGATCAGTAAGTATTAATCTAATACTAAGTAAATGCCAAGAATAAAAATATGGCCCTATTTGGAATTAATCAAGGTTTGCTTCCTGGGTGATGTGAACTTAGCATCGTCCCCTGTATCCCTTCTCCTTCTCTCTCCCCCCGCAGATGTATTATCTTTATTAAGAAGACCTTCCCAAGGTGGAACAAAAAATGGCAGTGTAGGGAGTTCCAAAAGCAGTAAATCGACTTTATTGAAACTCTGGAAACTAATCAAAAGCTTATAGCAACCTGAAATGTCTGGTGGCTCCCTGAAGGCCCCAAATAAACTTGTCTTTTTTTAGATTAAATCCTCACTCTGCCAGCAGTGACACAACACCACTGGGGGGCATTTGTTAAAACATGTAAAGGCAAATACATTAGTCCCTTCTGCCTGGGGCCAGAGATAAAAGTTGGGGCAAACAATAGACAAATCAGAAAGGTTTGGAGGAAAGGCTGGGCAATGAGATACTTTGGGAAATAACGGTTTTGAAAAGCTCCCACATGTTCCTGACAGTCTCAAAGTTCACATTCATGCCCAAGGTACATGCTTAAGGAGGCTGTAAGTTCTCATGTCTAAAATTTGAGGTTGTGTACAAATAGAAGCTGATGGCTAAGGCAAAATTATAAACTGTCTGACTGAATGTTGAAGGTGTGCCCCAACATACACACATACAGAACCCATCTGCAAAGACTTGCTCTGTTTTGTTTTTGGTTCCAGGTGTTTAAGACAATCTTTGTCAAATCACTGGCTGACCACTAAGCTAAAGGAACAGAGACATCACTGGTCACAGATTACAGAGAATACAAACTTTACAAAATTAGTCCAGAGAAGTCATTCAACAAACAAGTACCAACAGACAGCAGCAATAAGCCTTGGGGAAGAGAAGAAATCTGGTTTTTAGAATTTCTAGATTATAGTACTCAAATTTTCCAGTTTTCAAGAAAAAATTACAAGACACAAAGAAACAAAATATGCACCATACACAGAAAAGAAACTTTCCTTGAGGAAGCCCAGACTTTGGACTTTCCAGACAAAGTCTTTAAATTAACTATTTAAAAAATGCTTAGAGAGATAAAGGAAGCCATGTACAAAGAACGAAAGGAAACCAGGAGAATGATGTCTCATCATTAGAGAATATCAGTAAAGAGGCTGAAATAATAAAAAGGAACTAAAAAAACCCTCTAGAGTTGAAGAGTTTGAAATAAAAAATTTCCTATCGGGGTTCAGCAACAGATTTGAGCAGGCAGAAGGAAGAATCAGCAAACTGGATTAAGGTCAATCAAGATTACCTAGTCTGAGGAGCAATAAAAATAACAAAAAATGAACTGGGGCCTAAGAAACCTATGATACACTAGTAAGCGTACCAGCCTATGTATAATGGAGTCCTAAAAAGAGAGGAGAGAGAGAGAAAAGGACAGAAAGGATATTTGATGAAATAATGGCTGAAAAATATTCCTCAAAGGATGAAAGACATGGATCTACACATAGAAGAAGATTAATGAACCCCAAGTATTATATACTCAAAGATATACACAATAATACATTATAAACAAGCCCTGGCTGGTGTGGCTCAGTGGATTGAGCACTGGCCTGTGAACCAAAGGGTCTCTGGTTTGTCTCCCAGTGTAGGGCACATGCCTGGATTGTAGGCCAGGTCCTCATCAGGGCGCATGCAAAATGCAACCACATATTTGTGTTTCTTTCCCTCTCTTTCTCCCTCTCTTCCCCTCTCTAAAAATAAATAAAATCTTTAAGACATTATAAACAAGCTTTCAAAAGCCAAAGATAAGGAGATATTTCTGAAAGCAGCAAGAGAGAAGTGACTCATCATGTATAGAGATCCTCAAAAAAGATGAACAACTAACCATAGAAGCCAGAAGGCAGTGGGAAGACAAAGTTCTGAAAGAAAGGGGAAAAAAACCCTTGTCAACTAAGCATTCTATAATCCAGCAACCCTATCCTTCAGAAATGAAGGAGAAATTAAGACATTCCCAGATAAATAGAAACTGAGAGAATTCATTGCTAGTAGACCTGTCCTACATGAAATGCTTAAAAGGAGTCCTTCAGGCTAAAATAAAGAATACTAGACAGTCTTGGCTCCACACAAAACAATAAGGAACAGCAATAAAGGTTATCACATAGGCAAATATAAAAGTCAATATTAATGTACTTTTAGTTTGCAGTTCTTTTTTTCTATACAACTTAAAAAGACAGCTATGTAAACCATAATTTTAAATCTGTTGATGAACATAGAATTTATAAAGATGTAATTTCTGACCATAACAACATAAGGGGTGAGGGAAGAGTTGTATAGGAGAAGTTTTATATAATATTAAAACTGAGTTGGTATTAATTTAAACTAGATTTTTAAACTATTAACCACTATGAAATAACTAAAAATATATGATTAAAGAAATGAGAAGGGAATCAAAATGATATACTAGAAAATATCTAACACACAAAAAGCAGTAATACAGGAAATGAGGGCAAAAAAGAAAGGACATATAGAAAACAAATAAAATCGCAGAAACAAGTTCTTTCTTATTATTAATTACTTAAATGTAAGCATACCAAAACTTATGAGATACAGCCAAAGCAGTGCTCAGAAGAAAATTTATAGTTATAAACATCTACATTAATACAAATGAAGGATCTCAAATCAATAATTTAACTTTATACCTTAAGGAAATAGAAAATGAAGAGCCAACTAAACAAGCCAAAGGAAGGAAGTAATAAAAATTAGAGTGAGATAAACAAAATAGAGAATAGAAAAACAATAGAGAGGATCAGTGAAACCAAAGGTTGGTTTTTAGAAAATCAACAAAATTGACAAACTTTTAGCTAGACTGACCAATCAAAGAGAAAAGACAGAATACTAAAATCAAGAATGAAATTGTGGACATTACTACTGACCTTACAGAAATTTAAAAGATTATAAGAGAATGCTATGAGCAGTTGTATGCCAACAAATTAGGTAACTTGGATGAAATGAACAAATTCCTAGAAATGCACAAACTTCCAATACTGACTCAAGAAGGAATAGAAAATATGAATAGACCTATAATGAGCAAAGAGATTGAATGAGTAATTTTAAATCTTTCAAACAAAGAAAGCTCAGGACTAAATTACTTCACTAGTGAATTCTACCAAACCTTTAAAGAATTAATATCAGTCCTCTCAAACTCTTCAAAGAAATAGAAGAGGACATAAATCTCCCTAACTCATTCTCTTTTAAAAAATGTTTAAAAACATTTTAGTTGTAATGTTTAAAAACATTTTTTATTTTTAAATTAAAGTTGACATGCAGTATTAGTTTTAGGTGTACTACCCTGTGATTAGACATTTTTATAACCTACAAAATGATCACTCTGATAAATCTAGTACCCATCTGATACCATATATAATTATTACAATATTATTGACTATATTCCCTATGTTGTACTTTACATTCTCGTGACTATTCTGTAACTACCAATTTGTACGTCTTAATCCCTTCACCTTTTTCATGCATCCCCCCACCCCTATCCCATCTGGTATCTATCAAAATATTCTCTGTATCTATGAGTCTGTTACTGTTATGCTTGTATAACAGTAATCCTAACTGTTAGATTCCACATAGCAGTGTAATCCTAACTCATTCTGTGAGGCCAGTATTACCCTCATACCAAAACCAGACAAAGACATTACAAAGAACAAAAACTACAGACTAATAATTGTTATGAATATAGATGCAAAAATTCTCAACAAAATGCTAGCACATCAAATTCAGCAGCATATTAAAAAAGATTATGTACCATGATCAAGTGGGATTTATCTCAGGAACGTAAGGTAGTTTAATGTGAAAAATCAGTCAGTGTATGCCACCATATGAATAGGACAAAGGACAAAACCACACGATCATCTCTACTGATACAGAAAAGATTTTTGAAAAAATCCAACACCATTTTATGATAAAAACACTAAAAAACACAAGGAATGGAAGGAAATGTCTTGAAACTAATAGAAGACATATGTGAAAAACCCATAGCTAACTGCATTTTTAATGAGAAAAGACTGAAAGCTTGTCCATCTAAAATCAAGAATAAGGCAAAAATATTTGCTCTTGCTACTTCCTAACATTGCACTGCAGGGGCAAGCCAGTGCAATTAGGCAAGAAGAAGAGGCTGGAGGGGAATGGCTTCCAAATTGGAAAAGAAGTAAAACTCTCTGTTCACAGATGACATAATCTTAACATGCAGAATATCATAAAGAATGTACACACACACACAACTATTAGAGCTTATAAATGAGTTCAACAAAGTTGCAGGAGGCGAGATCAACATGTAAAAATAAGTTATATTTCTACTCACTAGCAATGAACTATCTGAAAAGGAAATTAAAACAATTCCATTTACAGGAGCATCAAAAATATTAAAATACATAAGAATAAATTTAACCAAGGGAGTTAAAGACTTGTACACTGAAAACTACAAAGTATTGTCGAAAGAAGTTAAAGAAGACCTAAATAAATAGAAAGACATTCCATGTTCATGGGTTGAAACTGTTGTTAAGATGGCAGTACTCCTCGAATTGATCTATAAATTCAATTCAACCCTTATCAAAATTTTAATAAGCTATTTTTGCTGAAAGGATAAGCTGATCCTAAAATTCATATGGAATTACAAGTGACCTCAAATAGCCAAAACAGTCTTGTAAAAGAAGAACAAAGTTAGAGGACTCACTTCCTGATTTCAAAATTTATTATGAAGCTATAGTAATTAAATCATAAGAATAGACAGCTAGATTAATTTAATATAATAAAGAAATTTCTATTAGTAAAATTATATACTTCAAATCAGGGTATTAGTTGAAGGGTGCTGAAATGTTATGATTTGCATTTTCTACATCTGAAAAACCTGTCTTGTTCCCCGTATTTTAATTGCTATCTTACCATCACTTTTGTTTTGTGGCCGCTTTGTTCTTTTACCAGTAATTTCTCCCCTGTTGTAATGCAAGCCATTTATGTAACTTTAAATTTTCTGGCAGCCACATTTAAAAAGTGAAAAGAAACTGGTGAAATTAATTTGATTAATATATTTTATTTAGCTCTATTCAAAACATTACAATGTTTTAACATATATTCAACATTAAAAGTAAACTGTTAATGAAGTATTTCACATTCTTCTAAGTCTTCAGAATTCAGTGTACATTTTACACTGACCATACTCTGACTAATGTGCATCTCATTTTGGACTAGACACATTCAAAGTGCTCAATAACTCCATGTGGCCAGTGACCACAGTACTGGACAATCCAGGCTTAGATCATCAGAACTAGGACATTGTCTCCAGAAGAGATAATGTGCTAGTTATTTCTGGGAATACAAAAGAAACTTTCTGTTTCTCTTTTCTTGCCCTCAAGTTAGTTTATCTTATTAGTCAGCTTTTGACTTAAAAGACATAAAGAGAAATCTGTCTTTTCCTAGGGTGAAGAAAAGGAAACTTGGAGTCAGTATGGGTGTGATGAGTGAGAGTAGGTGTGTAGGAGGGGGGACAAGACTGCAGACCAAGGGAAGTTTAGTTGCAGTACTATTGTGGTTAAGTCCAAGAGAGGATGGGGCAGCAAAAAGAAGGAATCCTCAGAGTAGGGGAAAAGGTCTAGTTCTGGAATATGTTTCTGAGTCAAATGGTAAATGTGCCTAGTTAGCCATACGACTTTCTTCTTAACCATCACCCTCTCCTATACCTCCATTATCCATTAGATGGGTATTAAATATATATATATATATATATATATATATATATATATAATGACTAAGAGCAGGCATGACCCGTAGAGTGCATAGTCCTTTTGAACTACTTTTCAGATGATTCTTTGTATGCATATATCTTCTTTTCTTTCCTCTTCCACAAAAGGAAAATATAGGACAAAAGATCAGAGAATGGATATAGAAAGTAAAGAGAGGAGAGTAAAGATAGGAAAGGACAAAAATTGTGGAAACGAGACATAAAGAAGATACCAGTATGCCCCAAATAAATTAAAATATTGAATGAAGTTGTTTTTATTCTTGAAGAGATGGAAAGTGAAGGGAAAGGTAGGGAAATGTGATGTAGAGCAAAGGGATATATCCAAGAGAAAATAATTGCCTTACAGCTTTACTTAAAATTGTCTTGCTTGTTTTCTTCGTAGCTGTGCCACTGCGTATGTTCTACTGGCTGAAGAAGAAGCAGCAACTATTGTAGATGCTGAAAGGCTATTTAGACAGGCACTCAAGGCAGGAGAGATTATTTACAGGCGGTCACAGCAGAGCCAGCACCAAAGTCCTCAGCATGAAGCCCAACTGAGTAAGCAAATTTGAACTAAGTTTTACCTGTCTTTTAGTCTCTGCATTTGGCTCTTTTATGTTTCAAACACAAAACAACAATAATAAAGTTAACACTTAAGGTTAGCTCCTTTTCCTGAGAGGTAATTAATCTATTCATAATATCTACAAACCAACAAGACAGAAGTATGTATTAGCTAGAGAATGCTCATGGAACAGGTCTGCTCTAGTTATTGAGAGATGTGTTGCTTTAAGACTTAACAGTAATTTATTTCATGTGAGAATTGGGCTGGCCATTGGAGAAACACAACTCAAAAAGAGCCAGGAGAGCCTCCCAGTAATGATAACTGGCTATTAACCCTTATCCTCACCCTAACCCCAGCCAATAGTAGAGGGACGTCATTTGGTTTGCTCTTCAGACTGTATGTCCTTGTAGTGCCAGGAGTGGCCCCTTTAGCACAAAAACCAACCTGATACTTGGCATGGATTCATTCTTTGGTTGATTTTTCTCTGGTGTGTTTGAGATCATATAGGTCATTGCAACTGAGGTCCTTTCTTTCCACTCATAGGGATATCCTCCCAGCAATGACTAGAGACACTTTTACCAAATATGTTAAAATCTGCAGTACTGCTGCTTCCTGCGATTTTTTGTGGCCAGAGAGTTTTAGTTTCATGATTTTGGCAGATAATGGGCAATAAATTGAAATATGTTTATGTAATGCATTATTTGCTAGCAGTTAAGTTCTTAATCTTTTATTTGTGGAAATTAAAATTTGGGTAGTTTCCTCTCTAAACTAAATATTGATGTATACAGTATGTTTCATCAATGCATGATGTTATAACACACAACTGTGGGAATATATGATTTTGTAGCATGGAACTAACAAAACTGCATCTGTAAAAAAGTTATGCCATTTGTCCTTGTATAATCTCAAATATGGTTATAAGATAGTTACCGAAATATTTGTTAGCTTTTTCTAGAATACTTTTATATTTATTAGTTCTAGCTATTGAGTAAAAGTTTGCACTAGCCATGGAAATTATGTTTTGGAAATCTTTTGTCAGTTAAAACAATAGAGGATATTAAAATAATAGATTATTTATGCAGAAACTTAAAATAATAGGTTAATGTTATTTCTTCCTATTAATGTATGTGTTTCTTTTATGTTAATATTAAAATGCATTTATCAAGTATACACTGATTACTTTATATATTTACTGTTCTCAGATTACTTATTAGAGGTAAAAGTAATTCTATATATATACTAAGCTTTTAATATAAAAAAACTTCAAACATATACACAAATAGAGCAGTATATGAGCATCCATTCAGTGTTCATCACCCAGATACAACAATCATTAATACTCTTATCATTCTGACACAATTTAATTTTAATTAAACTTCCAGAATAAGCAAATAAAATTAATGGATATGTTAATAGCAAATCATAATACAGAAATGATAGCTGTGTCATTTTTTTTAAATAGGGAGAGATACCAATGTACTGGTGTATATTAAAAGAAGATTGGCAATGTGTGCAAGAAAATTAGGAAGAATAAGAGAAGCAGTAAAAATAATGAGAGATGTAAGTGAATTTGATGACTGGACCTTTATATTTTTCAAAAAACTTAAAATGTGGTTTGAGTTGCCAATTATTTTAATATAAAGTCACTGTTTTTTAATTGGTGGTTTTTATGAAAAGATTTTTTTTTAACATGCATACATTTATTAAGGGTTGAGTCTGTACAGTTTTGTTAAGGAACAAAAGAATTTCTACTTTAATAAATTTGATTCAGATCTATTGAGTTTCTGTGTTATGATTTTAATCTCTTTTTCCTTTTAATATACAGTTGATGAAAGAATTTCCTCCTCTTACCATGTTGAACATCCATGAAAATCTCCTAGAATCACTTTTAGAATTACAGGCCTATGCAGATGTTCAGGCAGTCTTAGCAAAATATGATGGTGAGTGATATCAGTCTTAGTTGATAGTATGGTTAAAGTATTTTAAAAAATTAACATAATCATAAATGTGATTCTATTTTAGTGTTTCTGTGATTTTCTCTTACCATTCTTACCAGTCAATATATAGAATCCATGGGCACAAATTGCTATTAAGGACCTTCTAAGGAATGCAGATTAAAACCACGATGAGATACCACCTCAGATCTGTTAGAATGGCTATCATCAACAAATCAACAAACAAAAAATGTTAGTGAGGATGTGGAGAAACGGGAACCCTTGTGCAGTGTTGGTGGGAGTGCAGATTACTGCAGCCACTGCGGGAAACAGTATGGTGGTTCCTCAAAAAATTAAAAATGGATCTGCCTTATGAACCAGTGAATCTACTTTTGGGTATATATCCAAAGAAATCAAAATACTATTTTGAAAGAATATACGCACCCCTGTGTTCACTGCAGCATTATTTACAGTAGCCAAGATACGGAAGCAACCTAAGTGCTGGTCAACAGATGAGTGGATAAAAAAAGCTATGGTTTGTATGAGTATATTCAATGGACTATTACTCGGCCTTAAAAAAGAATGAAATCTTTCCATCTGTGACAGTATGGATGGACCTAGATAGTGTTATGTTAAGAGAAGCCAGTCAGAAAAGACAAATACCATATGATTTCACTTATATGTGGAATCTAAAGAACAAAATAAAGAAAAAAAAATGAAACAGATTTACACATGTACAAAACAGACTGATGGTTTGTCTGGGGGAAGAGGGTGGGGAACTGGGTAAAAAAGGTGAAGGGATTAAGTACAAATTGGGCCCTTGCTGGTGTGGCTCAGTGGATTGAGCGCCAGTGCCTGCGAACCAAAGAGTTGCCAGTTTGATTCCCAGTCAGGGCACATGCCTAGGTTGTGGCTAGGTCCCCGGTTGGCGGTGTGCAAGAGGCAGCCAATCAATGTTTTTCTCCCTCTCTTTCTCCCTCCCTTCTCCTCTCTCTAAAAATAAATAAAATCTTTAAAAAAAAAAGTACAAATTGGTACTACCCAAAATAGTCATGAGGATGCATAGGAAATATAGTCAGTTAAACTGTTAATAACTATGTATGGTGGCAAATGGGTATTGGAAATATTGGAAGGAACACTTTGTAAAGTATGTGATTGTCTAACCACGTTAGTTTTATGCTAAAACTAATACAAAACATTTTTAAAAAAAGAATCTTCTAAAGATCTTGAAAATATCTTGCTAAGTGAAATAAGATGGAAAAAATCAAAAACCATATGATTTTACTCATATGTGGGCCATAAAACTGAAAGTAAAAAATGGACAAACATACAAAAATATCATAGATACAGACTATAGTATAGTGGTTGCCAGGGAGAAAGGGGGTTGGAGGGAAGTAGTAAAGGGCACAGGGGGTCAAATATGTGGTGATGGAAGGAGATTCGACTTGTGGTAAACACACAATGCAAAATATATGATGAATCATAGAGCTGTACACTTTGAAACCTATATAATTTTATTAACCAATGTCATTTCAATAAATTTACTAAATAATTTTTTAAAAGAATCTTCATTATCAGGAATTTTGGGAGCAAAAGCCTGCAAGGAGTAACTTTTCTTCTGTCCAGGTTTGTTTATTGAGTGCCTGATACAAGTGAGGCACTTGGCATACGGTGGTAAACAAAAAGACATGGATTTAGCTCTCATAGGATTTGCAGTTTAGTGGAACAGACACACAAATGAATAGTAGTTATGTTGAAGCATGGCGTGTTAGGTGAGATAATTGGAAAAGTATGGTGTGCTGTGCACATAGGATGGTACCTCATTTGTTTTGGAGTATCAGGGAAGGCTAAAGAAGTTGCTTAGCAGATGTATAAGAGTAATTGAGAATAACATTTTACAATGCTTTTTAGTTACAATGTATAATTTATCTTATCTGATATTTATAATAATCTTGTGAGCTGTAGGACAATATTTTTACTATCTCCAGTTAGTAAATAAGGAAACTGGAGTTGAAGAAGGTTAAGTAATTGGGTAAGGTCTTCCAGCCAGTAAGTGGCAAGCCTGAACTTAAGTTCATGTATCCCATTTCTTCGTTCACTAGTCTTCCAATAGTAACAAGTTAATATATTGGCTATTTTTATTATTATACCGTAAGAGGACAAATTTAACATGAAGAGAATTGGGAGAATTTTTATAAGACATAGGCATTCTCCTCATTCTGAGTGACACACCAGCTTTTAAATCCAAGCTGAACACGTCCTTACTGGCCTAATGTTTCTGATCATATCTTTCACTATAAGAGAACATATCAGTCATTTACACTTGTCCATTTGTAAATTTCTACAAATTAGCTTGGGAATCCCCATGACTTGGAAGGTTTAAAATGTGTTACACTTGGAAAGAGAAGTTTATTTCTTTTAAACATCTGGAATTCTTAGGAAGTGCTTCAGAATAGTGTGGGCTCATGGAGAAATTTATGAAAAATCCTTACCATATGTAACTTATCAGATGCGAGGCCTGCTTATGATACTTATGATGAACAAGCTTAGGAACCAAATATAAAACATCAGGTAGGACCTGATTCATTAAAAATAAAATAAAACTAACAATTTTGATATGCTCCTATGTTTTCAGTTATTTTTATGGGTCCCCAGTTTTTGCCATTCTGGAATTCTGAAGCTAAAAGCAATTTACTTGTTTAGTTCTCTATTTGCCAGTGTAACTCTAGAATCTAAAGCTTCATGGGAATTCTGTGGCCTTACTCTCCTAATATTATTTTGGGCATTATTTTTTCACTTATTTTTAAAATTATAGTTGACATGCAATATTAAATTAGTTTCAGGTATATAATATATTAATTAGACATTTATGTACTTTATAAAGTAATCACCATGAAAAGGCTAGTGCCCACCTGACTATCTCCTATGCTGTACTTCACATCTCCATGACTAATTTTGTAACCAGCAGTTTGTACTTGTTAATCCCCTTTACCTTTTTGGCTCATTTGCCTCCCACCTGACAGTCATCAGTTTGTTCTCTGTATATGTTTGTTTCTGGTGCTTTGTTCATTTATTTTGTTTTTCATATAAGTGAAATCATACAGTATTTGTCTTTCTCTGCCTTATTTCACTTAGCATGATACCCTCTAAGTCCATCCATATTGTAGAAAATGGAAAGATTTCCTTCCTTTTTATGGCCTTGAAATATTTCATTAATGAAATATATATATATTTATATATATATAAATGAAATATATATATATAAATATATAAATGAAATATATATATGAAACATATATATATATATATATGAAACATATATATATATGTATGGCATCTTTATCCATTCGTCTATCAATGGACACTTAGGTTGCTTTCATATTTGGCTCTTGTAAATAATGCTGCTGCAAATGTAGGGGAGCATATCTTTTCGAATTTGTGTTTTCGATTTCTTCAAATAAATACCCAGAAGTGGGATTGCTGAGTCATGTGATACCCATTTTTATTTTTAGCCTTTTGAGGAACCTTCATACTGCTTTCCATTGTGGCTGCATCAGTTTACAATCCCACCAAGAGTGTACAAGGGTGCCTTTTTTCCACATTCTCTCCAACACATATACTTTGTTAACTTTTTGATAATAGCCATTCTGAGAGGTGTGAATTGATATCTCATTGTGATTTTGATTTGCATTTTGCTGATTATTAATGAGGTTGAGCATCTTTTTATGTGTTTGTTGGCCGTCTGTATGTCCTCTTTGGAGAAATGTCTTTTCCGGTCCTCTCCCCATTTTTTATTGGACATTTTTTATGCTGAGTTGTATGAGTTCTTTATATATTTTGGGTATTAACCCCTTATCAGAGATATCCTATGCAAATATCTTCTCCCATTCACTTGGTTGCCTTTTTGTTTTGTTAATGGTTTCCTTCCACTGGGAATCGAACTGGTGACCTTTCGGTTCACAGGCCAGCGCTCACTCCACTGAGCCACACCAGTCAGGGCTATTTTGGGCATCCTTTAGAAAAACATTTATATAATTAATTTTATTATATTTCCAGATTAATTTTTTAATTTTAAGCAAATTGTCATTTAAGAAAATGTAGAAAATACAAAATTATAGGAAGAAGAAAAAATTAAAATCACCCATGGTTGTATCACCTGGTCTTAATTACTGTTAAATATTCCTATTGATTTTTTGAATCTTAGTTTTTCTCTGCAAGTAGGTGGAGCTTTTACATAGTAGTTCTAACTATGCTATACCTTTTCCCCTGAACAGTACTATTGAGAGCAGATTATTATAACCACTTGTTGAGTACTTTTTGCCATTGTGCTGAGGGCTTTCACAGATATCATTTAATTTAACCTCTGCCAGAAAAGTGCTATTTTTCTATTTTGAGAAGAGAAAATTGAGGTTAAAGAAGTTGCTACTAGGAAAACGAAGCCCACTCCTGTTTCACTAACATTTTTCAACTTAACTACATGTATTAAACTCTCACACTGACTTCTGAATTAAAGTGAGACATTAACACTAAAAAAAAAAATGTTGCTACTGGCACAAGGATGCATAGCTAGTAAGTAAGTAGTAGAATCAAGATTCAAACTCAGGTCCTACAACTACATGTCTGTGTGCTTTTAGTACTATATTATATCTGTTGAATTTGTCCTATGAAATTACTTTTATTAGAAATTGTCTTTATATATTTTTTGTGATTCTTACCTAAACTGAAAATTATTATTGCAGATATAAGCCTTCCCAAGTCAGCAACAATCTGTTATACAGCAGCACTGTTGAAGACAAGGACTGTTTCAGATAAGTAAGTAGTTGTGGGAACTACAAGAATTTAGAAATACTGCTAAACTCAGTATTATGTTTTCCATCTGCTGACTTTAAACAATGCTTGTGTTCCTTCCTACTTCCTTCTCAATAAAACTTGATCTTATGGGGTTCTGTGGTTTCTACTATGTGCAGTGGAAAGAACAAGGTTTTTAGAGTTAATGTAAACCTGGGCTCAAATTCAAGTGTACTGCATACCAGGTGTGGATCTTTGGGCAAGTTAATCAGTTTGAGTCTCTTCCTCATCTGTAAAATAAGAATAAGAATCCTGTAGGGTGGTTCTATGAGGATTATGCCTGCTAAATGCCTAAAACAATGCAAGAAAGAAAGTACATATAGTACATAGTAGCTATGATGGTAAATGATAAAATGTGTGGTAGAGGAAAAAGTTACATGTTATCTGTTCTGAGATTATAATTCTGAATTACTCTGTATTCCTTGTATTTGTGGCTGCCTTTAACAAATTTCACTTCATTCCACAGATAACATATTCAGAAATCAACTAAAAGGCGACCTTTTTCTTTTACCTTGGATTTCTCTTCCTTGATAGGAATTAGAATGGAGTATTCACAGTCTGTTTCCTTTTCATAAAAATTTGATTAAGATTGTGTTTCTATTTCGTGAGATTCTCTGGAAATCCTATGTAGCTTTTCATGTTTTATTATCTTTAAAGTGTGCGTTCAATGGACTTCTCCTGAAGTCTTTCATTACCTAAATTTGAAGATTTCCATTCCTTATGCTACCTTCTTTATATGTTGGACCAAAGGCTGCAATTTGATGTGTAGTAGTTATTGGGCTTCACCAGAAAATTCTGATTAGATTATAATCTAAAGCCATATATTTTTATATTCATTTCTTCATTTTTATGGTTTTCTTACAGATTTTCTCCAGAAACAGCCTCAAGAAGAGGTTTAAGCACAGCAGAAATGAATGCTGTGGAAGCAATTCATAGAGCTGTGGAATTTAATCCTCATGTTCCAAAAGTGAGAAATTTTATGATAAAAATACTACTTTTACTTAAGTTTATCAAATTGATGACAGTATCCAGACCAAGGTTTGGGTCTCTATAATTTGAGTCAGAATTGTTTTAACCACTGTATTTTGAAGTTTATTATTCACCTTAAAGGAGATGTTAAAAGGCATTTGGAAAGGAGCAGTAGGAGCAGTAGTAGTTCACTATAGGTTTTGTAATTGTGTCAATATAGAATTAGAAATGTGTTCACTTAGCTGTTCCTTCTACTGTAGTTATAGAGAATAAATGAAATGACTTGGTATTAAGAAAAGATCATTCATATTTCAGATTATTAAATTGAATTTCTTGTTATAGTGAAAGCTTTTTACTTCTAAACAGATGCCTGGATTTTGAACTAGGGCTGAGTAGACAAAGATTGAAAGCAAATAGATTAAAATAATCAATGATAGGAAACAGATGTGGAAGTTCCCAGAAAAACTGCTGAGTTGATAATTTTTTGGTCCCAGATGAAACTGTACCCATATCATTTGTCTTTATATTATGCACCTTGCAGACATACAGATTATTGGTTAATCTTTGTGTGTTATCACCCAAGATTAAATTTTGTATTATAAAAATGATGTCTCATGTTAGGAAATGATGTCCCATGTTAGGAAGTATTCAAGAATAGATGTCTTTATGAGAAAATGTAATTATAACAATTGATTCCAGTTTTAATGTATATTAATGGAATTTGGAAACTAGCAAACATTAAAGAGATTAACCTCTAAAAGATAATCTCCAAGATATGGAAGTTGTAAACCTGTTGGAGTAAGTAAAGACAGAGCCTAGAAAACCACTGAAATCTAAGAACGAGAGTCAACGAATATTTATACCATCCTCTTATTCATTAATATCAGTTCCATGAATTTAAATATTGACAAAATTTTTATTATGAGTTTAATTATTATACAGCAAAGTGTAAAAAACAGAAATTTGCATCTTAATGATTTATTATAAAGCAAATATGTGGAAACTACCACTGAGGTCAAGAAACAGCACTGCCAGCCTCCCAAGGCCCGCCTCACTGCCCTTCCCCAATTATAGCTTCTTCCCTCTTGCCCAGAGGTGCCTATTATTCTGACATTAATTGTGTTCTCTTCTCTGTTTTCTTACATTTTTGGTCTATATTTTTCCTTTGTTGTTGGCTTTATAAAACAAGTAGTGAGCCCTCTTTTATTTTATTCTCTGGAACAACTTGTGTAAGATTAAAATTATTTCTGCCTTAAACAACTGGTAGAATTTGCTGACAAAGCCATCTGATTGAGAATTTTTGTTAAAATTTTATTAGTTTTATAGTTCAATTACAAATTCAATTTCTTTAACCATTCCATAACTATTTAAATTTCTTATTTCTATCTGTGTTGGTTTGCTGAATTATATTCTTCTAGAAATTTATCTCATAAAAATTTTCAAATTTATTGGTGGAAAGATTTCATAAGACCCTTTTATTACTTTGTTAATATTTGTGGGATTAGTTATAATATCCACTTTTTACTTTCTAACACTGGCTACCTATTATTTTCCTCAATCAGATTCCCCAGGGATCTACCCATTTTATTACTTGCAAAGAACTGAGCTCTGGCTTTGTTGTTCCTCTCTATTTGTTTTCTGCTCTTTATCACCTTCCTTCAAGTTTCTTTGGCCCTATTACTTTTTATTTCCTATATCATCTTACATAGATATTTAACTCATTAATATTCAGCCTTTCTTCTTACTAATATATCTATTGAAGTCTATAAACCTCTGAGCACAATTTAACTGCATACTGTAGCAATATTTCTATATAATTTAGTTCAAAGTATTTTCTTTTTAAACATTTTATCATTTTATTAGGAATAATTACAAATGGGTTATAAAGAAAACTTACTCATTTGAGTTTGATGAGTTTTTCAAAAACTCTTATTTAAATGAAGATATGTTCACCAATAAACAATAAAACATCAGCAGCAAAGAGTCAGGCTAATACCAAAAGCAACCTGCAACCTGAAAGAGATATAATATAAAGGAAAACAATTTGCTGGGCATTAAAAATCATCTCAATATCAACTCTTTGTTACCAGCACAGAGCTAATTAGCTATCGAATCCAAACCATACCAAGGTAAACGTGGCTGATGGAAGCCAGGAGTGAATAATGGGGGCACGGCGGGGAGTTCCTCTGTGCAAGAGATCCCAATAGTGTTTTGGAGCATTTCCCTGGCTGGTACAAGCAGTGTTAGAAGATCTTTTTAGCAATACAGAAAAATAAATACAAATGGAATGCTACATTTATTTTTTAAAATCAGCGGAGTGTCCCAGGAATGATAAAGGTATTGGTAAAGTAAAAAGGGAATAACTTTTTTGAAAGATTTTTAAAATTTATTTTCAGAGAGGGGAAGGAAGGGAGAAAGAGAGGGAGAAAGACATTGATGTGCGAGAGATATATCAGTTGTCTCTTGCAGGTCCCCAACTGGAGACCTGGCCTGCAACCCAGGTGTGTGCCCTGATGGGGAATTGAATCGGTGACCTTTCACTTCACAGGCTGGTGCTCAGTCCACTGAACCACGCCAGCCAGGACAGCAAGGGGATAACTTTAAAACATTATTCGTTATGGGCTCAAAAAACACTCAAAACAAACCTATTTAAAGGTGTCACAATAGCTAAGTCCAGGCATTCAGGCTTAAGGGAAGTAAAATTAAAAGAGGACCCTATTTTCCTCCAAGTTAAGGAGAATTCTTTAAAACCAAACATACTGCTGAAGTGCAGCATTTGGTAAACAATAATTGGCAACAAAGTAAGTTTAAATGCTATAATCTTCTGCCTAAACCAGTTCCAGATACTGTTTAATAACCAAGATGCAAACCAATTTTGTTGTAATAAGCCTAGACCACTTCTATCAAACATATCCTTGGTTAGATATCCAGTTTCATTTAGCATTTTGAAAGCTCATTTGACAGCCAGTTTGGTCCCTCATGCAGTCCAGTTCCTTGTGTAGCACAAGTGGCTTAAACATACCCTGTTCTGTTGTGAAGAGACTGAAGACCCGATTTATCTGCCATTTGACTAATGGCATTGGCATTTGGTAAATCCTGTTTGTTTGCAAAAAGCAGCAACACTACATCTCATAACTCACCTTCTTAAAGCTTTTTTCCCCCTTTGTATGTATGTATGTATGTATGTATGTATTTTTTGCAGCTCTTAGGCTCCTTCCTGAATTCTTTCATGCTCATTGCTGTCTACCACAAAAATAAGACCCTTGGTATTCTTGGAGTAATGGAAGTTTTGGTTTATTTCTGGTTTATCCGTATTCCTTCGAGGCAGCTTTTGAGGATTTGAAACCAATCCTGAGGGTTTTACTGGGACTCTCACTCTTGACAGGCTTTGAACTCTTTCTTTTGTTCCCTTAGTCTTATGAAACTGGCAAAAACCCTGACCAGCCTCTTAGCCATCTTATCTGGAATTGGCAAATGTTGCTACAATAAAAGAAGCTCCAAATGTGCCTTACTACTCTGATTTCTGCCTTCCTTGGATTGTGGCTTTGTAATTCCTTACCTTTAACTAACTGTAATGTATTTGACTAGATTTTAAAAATATTTTGTTCAGCCTTTTCAGTTGTCTGGGATGGTTGATCTGAATTACCCAGTCTTTTATTACTGGAAGCAGAGTTCTGAAAATACTTTTATGTGAAATGCTCTGCTCTTTCAGTCTTCAGAGTGGTTAAGAGAATGGGTTCCACAAACTAGACTGCCTAGATTTATATTCTGGCTCCACTGCTTAACGAGCTATATGACCTTGGACAAGTTATTTCTCTGGACTTGAGTTTCTCCTTGTGTAAAATAGGGATAATATTCCCTATCTCTTAGAGTTGTCATTAAGATTAATGACTTCATTTCTTTAAAGTGCTTATAAGGGTGCCTAACAGTAAGCATTAAAGAAGTGATTGTTACTGTTATTGTCCAGGATGGGATGGGAACCTGTTCCTTGTGTGAGAAGATGAGCAGCAGTTCTTAATCAGAACTACTCAAATTAAATATACCACTGAGATGTCTAAAACCTTTATTTAGTTCACATGGAAAATAAAATGTGGACTGTTTCCTCTGGCTGTGGGCTTCTTTCCTGCCTCAGAAACTTTCTTCTGCAAAATGTATTCTCAGTAGTAATAATTTTGATGAGATGAATTGTGTGTTTTAAAACTACTGCTGGAGTCACTTCGATAAGGGAGGGCAGTGGAAATTCTAGGTGTTGCCCTAATTACAAAATTAAATTTTTGATAGAAAATATATCTTAATTTACACACACACACACACACACACACACACATTGAAATACTACTAAACAATCCCAAGAGAAATGAGAGAAGACCTAAATAAATGGAAGATATATACCATACTTATGAATTGGGAGACTTAATATTGTTTAGATCACAGTTCTCCTCTAATTGATCTATAGATTCAATGCAACTCCTGTTAAAATCCTAACAGGCTTATTTGTAGACATTGACCAGCTTATCCTAAAATTTATATGGAAATACAAAGGACCTAGAATAGCCAAAACAATTTTCAGAAAGAAGAACAAAGTTAGGATAGGCTTTACACTGTCCAATATGAAGACATTTTAGAGCTTTTTAAAAAATACATTTTAACAGTAATTAAGGTAGTATAATATTGACGTAAAGACTGAAGTATAGATTAGTGAAAGACAATAGAGAGTCCTGAAACAAACATCATTATGGTCAGCTGATTTTCAACAAGTGTTCCAAGGCAATTTAGTGTTTAGTGAGGAAAGGACAGTTTTATCAACTAATGTTGCTTGAACAATTAGGTGTTTATATATTTAAAAAAAAACAGCAACAAACACCCAGCCGTAGCCAAGTGGCTCAGTTGGTTGGCATGTTACCCAGTGCAGCAAAAGGTTGCTGGTTTGATCCCAAGTCAGGGAGCCATACCTAGGTTGCAGGTTCGATCCCTGGTCAGGGTGCATACACGATAGAT